AAGGCGAGTGCAAAATGTTTCCTTCCTGTCCCTCCCTATTTGATTCTTCCCATCACAACTGTTAACATCATTCCTATGTGAAAGACGTAAATGTAATTTGTTGTTGTTAACTGCTCCGATAGTTGTCGTTAAGTCATCGTGAGTGAAAAGGGCTTCATAAGTGCAAATTATTGTATTTGTACAATCCTGCTCATCTGAGCTGCAACTTGCCAATCAACATTTCACAAATGTATTCCGCAAACCAGGAACCTCACAAGGGGGTGTGGTGTTGAGAGAAAGATTATAATAAAATCTAGCCCTTTGTTTATCTTAGAAACATAGGAAGGCAGGGGGAATCTGGCTGGGTGGCAACCTCACCTGTGTTATGAACTACACCCTATTGTAAAATAGTTTACAACCTCACCAACCCAACAAAACAATTCACCAGCCCAACCCATCGCCTAAGGAAAATATTTTTATCCCAGCCTAATTTGCAAATTTCAGAGATTTCTTTCAAACTTTTTTTTAATATAAAAAAGTTATCCATGTGCACAAAACATTTAATATTGCTCACCATTCATGGGAATGTCTTATTTTCAAACGTCAATCAGAAGACTTAGGAACCGAACAAGAAAGATCGAAAGTAGGCACATGAAGTTTTCAAACAGAGTAGGGTTGCAGTTTTGGGAAAGGCAGAATCCTGAAAAACTTTTAATATTCTTGTGACAAAGAAAAAAGTTATAACTGTAAATATACAAGCACTGCAGATGTATAAGCACTAAAACAAATTGATGAATAAGCACAATTTATATTTATGTCACCTTGAAGTTAGCTCAGCTCCAAAGAGACCCCGCTTATTTCCTCCCCAGGAAGGATATTCTTAGTGCCTTAAGACAGATTAGTGCCTTAAAATCGCTCTGGGATATTTCATAGATGTATTGCAAAACGGTCTCTAATGTATCTATTGTAGCTAATACTCTAATTCCATTTCCCTGTTCTTTCTCTGTTCCTTTTTATATTATTCCTCATCCAGTGTTGATCACTTCTCTTCATAGCTGTGGGACATTGCTTTGTGCAAACTGGCTTCTGTGTTCGCCTACAAATGTCCACAATAAACACACTTTCCACTTTATGAAGCACTTTGAGACATCCTCCTGATATGGAAGCACTATATCAAAGTGCAAGAATTATTATTAAAATAATAATACCTGATCCAGTTGCACATCATAAAAATATATTTTGTGAATATTTTCCAATTGTTAGTGGATTACTACAGTGGACGGATTTTAGACACTTTCAGTCAAATATTTGCCAAACATTAAAAAAATGCAGAAAGTTATGCTTGCAAATGTAAATTTTTTAAATGTCGAATTTCTCCCTTCCACTCCTCATGATGACGTGGACTTCTGCTGGGTACATCTGTAAAAGCACCTTCTATCCTTCACACAAATTGGTCTTTCTTTCTGCTTCAGCCAGACAATCCTGCATAATGATCAGGGGCAGGAAATAGATAGACATTTCCTGAGCCCAAAGCACAAAAATAATAATAATCCTTGCATTTGATATAGCGTTTTTCACGTCTTCTAGACGTCTCAAAGCATTTCACAGAATATATTGTAAAGTAAATTGACTGTATATTTGTGGGCGAAATGCGGCAGCCAATTACGCAAAGCAGTCGTGGATTCAGTGACTAAATTATTATTGTTTTTTTAAGGAATTATTATCCCCAGAAAAGCAGTCCAACATTCAACCAACAACTGGGTTCCTACTTACTTCTCGATAAACAGAGGCATGTGGAGTAAGGAAACTTGCCCAGCATTTCGCCCACCCGGGAATAGAACCTAGGTCTCTCGCTTGCAAGGCGAGTTCTCTAACCACTGAGCTACAGGACTCTACTAGCTCCACACTAAAGCCAACTGTAATAATAGCAACAACAACTTGCACTGAAATTGCGCCCCCACGCATTAGTTCTTTTTTTTGTTGTGGTTCCCTAACTGCAAGTGGCTGACTCAGCAAAGACCAGAGATCAAACCTGTGACCTTCATGACTAAGTGCTACACTGGGCCTTTAACCTACCAGGCTATCAGGTAAACCTGCTGTCAGAAAATTAAATCATTTAGTATTGGTTCTCTCCTTGCTGATAACGTTTCAACAATCTTCGACAGCAAGCACAGAATACTCTCCATTTGCAGGTACATTTGCTGAGATTTTGCAGTGTGCTCATATAATCCAAATCCTCTGATTTCTATTGATATTAAGCTGCTGAAATCGCTGCAATTTTAGTCCACTGTGGATCACAAGAGAAATTTGGATGAAGAAAGCTCTTCAGCCATTTGAACTCACCATTCTAGGGAACACCCGTGCTATTGTCCTACCATTACAGGATTGAATTATTTCTTAAATGAGTCCAGAGCATACCTCACACACAAACTAGCCTTTGTTACCTTGTATCTGTGCACTCTTGTTCTGCTGCCATATCTAAAAGTATTGATTCGGGTTTACTTTCTCAATCCCACTTAAAACTTTATTTAGCTCTATAAGGCCCCTCCGGACATCTTTTCAAGGTGAAGACTTCTAAATTGTCTTATCATGAAGACGTGAAAAGCGCTATATCAAATGCAAGTATTATTATTATTATTAATATTATTGCTCATTCCTCCAAAGCTTATAGCTCTCCTCTGCACTGCCTCAAGGACGTAGGCAGTTCCCTTACGTCAGAATGTTATGCAACGCTCCAGGTTCAGCCTGATCAGAAACAAAATACTAGATCTTTCAGCTTCTCCCTTGGCAAATTCTATACATCCACAAAGTATGCGTGCCTCCTATTTTTACTTCAAGAAGAAAAGTTAAAGATGGTGATTGCTCGACAATCATCTGAGGCCATGAAGTGAGAGACAGAATGCCAATTCTGAAGACGGATTGCTGGCACCAAAGTGATTGCGGTTATTGATGAATGGCTTTATCTGACGCGATGCAGACTGGTTTAAGATACCCGAGCACATGGAAATCAGAATGGAACAGATCTTGGGATTCTGCAGTCAGGATGTGGTGTTCGCATCAGCAATCCATCTTCAGTAATGGCTCGTTCAAACACTTTATCTAGAGAAGCAGACCTCTGATGTATAATTTTGAATGTACACCCTCTTGTTCTGCTGTCCTGCCATATCTGAAAGTATTGTTTGGGATTTCTCAATCCCAATGACAATCTTATGTACCTCTTTAGGATCCCCTCTGAGGCATCTCTTTTCAAGCCTGCAGGGCCCTAATGTATCGTGACTTATTCCAATCATTACAGAATCAGCTCTTCACTTCATCCAATACAATTTAGACTTAAATAGCTCCTTTCACAAAGTTCACGGTTGTTTGTGGGACACTGCTGTGCACATAACTGGCTGCTGCCTTTGCCTGCAGCATACACAGTCGTTCCATTTTACAGTTAACCCTGAAGCACTTTGAGATGTCCTCCTGACGTGAAAGGCTCCATATTAAATGCAAGGACTTTTATTGTTTTATGGATATCAGGCCCGCCATACTGAAGGTTTAAAAAGATCACTTGATCTGATACTCAATCATCATCCATTCATGCTACTATAGCGGTTGCCCGCACCCCACAAATGGAGTATCTGCCTGTTGATAAAACTGACATTACAAAGCCAGGTTATCCACAGGGTCACCATCCTTTACTAATGTGTACTTGTTACAATTACTTGGGCACTGTTTCTATGCTTCTACAACTGTTATCATACGTGGTTGTGCCAAACAACTCAACAACAATTTGTATAGCACCCTTCATGCAGGATAGAGTCTCACAGTATTGAACAATAGTACAGTTTGATGCTGAGCAGGGGAGAAAGAGATGACCCTAGGCTTAGCCGAAGAAGAAAGTCTTCAAATCGAATCTGAATATAGGCAAAGAGTGGGCAAGGTGAAGGGACTGAGGCAGGGAGTTCCAGAGATTCAGGGAATAGTGGCTGAAAGCATGTTTGCCAATGGTGGAAAGGAGGGGTCGAGGAATGTACAGAAGGGGGTGGGCAGAGTGAGGCATTAGAAGGTTGGAGAAGTAGGGAGGTGCTAGGGCATGAAGTGATTTGTAGGCAAGTGCGAGGATCTTCAAATCAATCTGTTCTGCAACAGAGAGCCAGTGCAGCCTGGCAAGGACTGGGATGATGGGGGATACTGTAAATAAACATGCTCAAAGTCACATTTATAAAATGTAATTATGAGCCATGTCAGGCAGCACTGGGCAATGTACACACCAACAAAGGGAAAAATCACCATTCTTATTAGATTAATACCTAGAATTGGAGTGATTTGTTATCAGCTGATTTTATTTTCTTAGGGCATTATCCCTAGAGCAGGTTGTCAAGTTTCTCGGCACACATCGTTTGCTCATTAATGAATAGCGGGCAATCCCTTGATAAAACTATGCAGAACACTATACGCTGTAAATATTTTGCAAAGATTAACTGAATCGTCCAATGAGGTATCTTCAGAGGAAGCAAATCACCTTTTTCTACTGGTTCCGTGTGCACCAACCTATCCATATCGCTGACGAGTCAGTTAATTTAGCGAATCTCCTACCCATTTTCTTGCCCCCTGTTCCTACCTGCTATCTATTACCTCTCAAGTATTACCTTGAAAAACACCCTCCAACAAACCTCAACCAGTCAATGAACCTGACATGTCTTGTACTGGATAGTCCAGGAGAATCCTTTGCTGTCTTCTCTTGGCGTAAATGCCTCTTTCGCTACCATGAGCCTTCCATCAGCCCGAGGGAAGTAACGAGCTTTGCTAAGTGGCACAGAAGGCTTCATATCTCATCCTTGCCTCACCATCAGATTGAATGCTGCATCATGATTCACTGCTCACTGTCATTCTGCCTTCAGCTTGTGGCATCTTAATCATTCAGAAGTCACCCAAGAAACCTTATCTCTTCTGATAACTTTTGTAATTCTACTATTAGATCTGCTAAATGTAACTTTACAGTTCAGTACATCCTCAGATAAGTCAAGATAATTTACCTTCTGCCCATAAACCACTCCTCTCAATCAGGTTCTCCTCCTTACGTGGTGCTCTTTGTAATGCTCCTGAGAAAAAGCTATGGCTATAGCTCTTGGAGTCAGACACTGAAAAATTAAAAGAAAGCTGTGAGAAATTACCCAATTCTTAACGGAGTGGAGAAGCAGAGAGACCTTAGAGTACAGATACATTGGAATTTAAAGGTGGGCGTGCAAGTAGATTCGACCATAAATAACAAATGGAATTCTAGGTTTTATGTATTGGAACACAATAGCAAAGATGTTTATTCAAGATGTTGGGCCACAGTTGGGAGCATTGCTTCCATGTTTGGCTGCCTCATTACGGAAAGTGCATTGAAAGAATACAGAGGACAGTCACAAGGATTATATCAGAGATAAGAGATTATAGTTACGTAATGAGGTTTGAAAAATTAGGATTATTTTCGCTGCAGCAGATTAAAATTCCGAAGTGTTTCTGAAAGAGTAAAGAAAGACAGACTATTTCCCCGATTGGGAGTCAATCACATGTGAGGATTATTTTGAGAAGAAAATAAGGTGAGTTTGCAAGATATTTTTTAGGATGAAGAAATGTGAACTGGTTTATCCACAAACTGCTGTTAAAAACAAGGCCCGTGACAACATTTAAAAGGAATTGGATAAATCTTGGGGGGAAAAAGTAATATTAAAGGATTTGGAAAAAGAGTATAAGAATAGGATTAAGAACAGAGCTCAAGTGGGCAAGCTAGCCCCATTATTTATATATAAATATGGAAAAATCATGATGCATCTACTTTACTGGAAACCATCTGGAAGAGGGGATTAAACATTTACAATAGGAAAACTCCCTGACCAATACGAACAGAGCTGATATATTTGGCCTCAATAATATTCACTAAAATTAGCTTTTTCTGCCTGGTCGAAAGCAGACACAGAATTTTGTGATGTCTGGAAAACAGCCACTTTTGGATCACCTGTATAATTTCTAGTCGTAAGAACATAAACAGAAAACAAAGGAAAGTCTGTTTCGCTGCATATAATAGGTGCTCAGTAAGTTTCTTAATCATGTGCTTTCCACCAATGTATTGCAATTAATGGAAAGCCAACATCAACAAAATTGGATCTCAAACAAAAGTACAGACATTTTGATGCCAACACTTGTCACTGCAATCTCTTTAAAATTTCACAAGCTGATTATAAAATAAAAGAAAAAGCCACATTTCTACTGACGCTTAATCTAGTGAATTCAAAAGCATTGCTTTGTACATGGGAATGGTTACCAGGAGGATTTGGATAAGTATGAATTAACATTCACATCTAAAGACTTTTCTGTATTCACAGCCACAGGATGGGATTAGAAGGTCGTAAAGAGAAACAAATACAACAATTGACATAAATATGTATCTCATCTGTTTTTGTATATGAATGTAGCAGAATACCATGTATTTCTTGTAAAATCACTCAAAAGTGTTTTCATTATTACCGAATGCAGTGAATATGTATTTTAATGGATTTGACTATTTAAAATCCACATGCAAGATGCATTAGAAAAATAGTTTGCATCTACTGTTCCACATGATTGGAGTGACTTCTACAATACATAAAAAAGTATTATATATTCACTCAGGACATCATCTAGCACTGTTAAGGGTGGTACACTCAGGATGATATGTACGTCATTAAGCTCATGAAAGAACTGCTGGATTCTTATGAATCAGTTGCAGTATTGTGTCGATTTCTGGGCACCGAACCTTAGGAAAGATGTCAAGGCCTTGAGAGAGTTCAGAGGAGATTCGCCAAGATGATTCCAGGGATGAGACACTTCAGTTAAGAATACAAACTTGAGTAGTTGGCTCCGGTTGTTTTTTTTTTAAACTAGCACAAAGACAAACAACAACAACTTGCATTTCCTCTCACACAGTGTAGATGTTGGAGCTGTGGATGTTGGAGCTGGGGAGACCGGCAAGGAGGGCATTTGAAAAGTCGAGTCAGGAAGTGACGAACACATGGACGAGTGTTTCAGCTGCATCTGGGGTAAGGTATAGTTGGAGGCGGTCAATGTGGCAGAGATGGAGGAAGGCAATCCTGGTCAGGGACCAGATGTGGGGAAAAAAGGACAGCTGTGGGTCGAACCTGACGCCTACGCCTACGTTGCGCACTGGTTCGGTGAGTCTGAGGGACAGGCCGGGGAGGTTGAAGACATCATTATCACAGGACAGAAGCTGTTGATGGAAGCCAATGTACACTTAGTTGCACTCATCCAGCCTTAATGTCCACCAGAGAAGCCAAGAGAAGATTGGCGGACCTCGAGTCGCAGCTGTAGGTTTGTGTGTCATCCACATACATGTGGAAGTTTATCCCGTGTCTGCGGATGATATTGCCCAGAGGGAGCATATAGTTGAGGAAGAGGAGGGGGCCAAGGATGGAGCCCTGGCGTACACCACAGATGACCAGGCAGGGGCAGGAGGGGAAACCGTTTGAAGAGACAAAGTGAAGGCAGTTTGTTGGGAAAGCCTCGAAGCAGTATAGTGTGCTCCCACTGAGGTGGATGAAGGAGGAGAGGTTGTGGATGAGGATGGTGTGGTCGACTGTGTCAAATGCAATGGAGCAGTCCAGGAGGACGAGGAGGCAGAGGGAGCCTTGGTCACAGAGGTGAAGGATGTCATTCATGACTTTGACAAGTGACGTCTCTGTGTTATGGACAGGGTAGAACCCAGACTGGAGGGGCTCGAGGAAGGAGTGGAGGGAGCAGTGAGAGTAAAGCTGGTTAGCAGCAACACCTTCCAGAGCTTTGGCAGGAAGGACAGGTTAGAAATGGGATGGCAAGACAATTGAGAGAAGGCATCAGAACTATAAAGGAATTTTTGGGGGGTCAGCCAGGTGTCTGACACAAGCAGAAACATGCTTAAGAGTATCCAAAGTAAACAGAGTTCCTTGCATCCCAACTACACATGGAAATTCCAGAGATATTTATTGGAATGAAATGTGCACTTTCTCCTTGGAGGGAGTATTAATTGCAGGTTGGCAAGAGGCAAGATTTGGGGATCTCAGAATGTGCGTTGGGATACTGCTGGAATCTAAGTAGCTAAAACTGCATATTTCGATAAGGAGATTTCGATAAGGCACATAAGAAATACTATTTCCAGTGTTCTGTATGGTAAGTCAATGACTGAGGAGCATAAATTCAGAAAATTCAAAAAAAAACTAAAGGAGAAGTTACGAGATTTAAAAAAAATAAAACAGAGAGCAGTTGGGACATAGAATGCCCTGACAAAACATGGCTAAAATAGAACAACTTTTGAAAGGATATTAGACAAAAAGAAACAACAAAATTCAATTTGTAAAGCACCTTTCACATCAGGAGGACGTTCCAAGGTGCTGGTCAGTCAGAATTTCGGACCTGAGCTGGGGGTCGGGATTGGGGAGGGTGGAGGGCAGGTGGGGGAAGCAGCGTGTTAAAAGCACAGTCGAAGAGTGGCTCTTGAGATGGGTCTTGAAGGAGGCAAGGGTCTGGAAATACTAATAACAGCGTCACTGTCAGGGTCAGAAATCCATAAGTTTGTTAGATGGAAGTATTCGTTTTGATGATAATCATCATGAGAATATTTCTTCCCCCGCCTTGAAAACCCAATTAAATATGTAGCTCTTTGACCTTAGCTTTGGTACAACTATTAAATTCCCATTCCTTTCTCTTCTGCTCAGCTTTGTTGAAGCGAGGCCGTGATGGAACTTCCTTAGGTGCAAAATTGTGAGGATCCACTCTGCTGCCTCTGCCATTGCTGCTGCCACCCCTCCCACTTACACCCAATCCTCTCTGTACGCTTTCAAACTTATTTCTCCCTCTTCTCTCTCTAATTTTCTTCAGTTGAATGTCGACAACATGGAGGCTCTCCTGCTTGGCTCGCGTCAGCGCCTTCTCACTTCAGGCACTGACAGCATCAACCTACATGGATGCGCAAACCACCACACAGACTCCATCCCAGAGTCCCTTCAACCTCATCCCTTCCCTTGCCTCCTGCAAGGCCCATCATGACAACAACAACAATAAAATTACATTTATAAAGCACCATTCACATTGGGAGGACGTCCCAAGGTGCTGGACAGTCAAAAGTTTCGGACCCGAGCTAGGGCTCGGGATTGGGGAGGGTGGAGGGCGGGAGGGAAGTAGGGTGATTGGAAGCACAGTCGAAGAGAAGGGTCTTGAGATGGGTCTTGAAGGTGGCGAGGGAGGGGTCGAGGCGAAGAAACTGTAGGATGGAGTTCCAGAGGGTGGCGGCAGAATGGTTGAAGGCCTGCCCGCAATGGTGGGGCGGGCGAGGCAGGGGATGTGAAACAGGCTGAAGTCTACTGAGCGGAGGGAATGGACAGAATGGTAGCGGGGTTAGGAGAGGTAGGGGGGAGCAAGACCATGGAGGGCTTTGAAGGTGAGGACCAGAATCTTGAACTGTATCCTCTGTGTGATGGGAAGCCAGTGGATTCGGGCGAAGATGGGGGTGATAGCATCACGGAGCCTGGTGCGGGAGAGGACATGGGCTGCAGAGTTTCTGGATGATCTGCAGCCTATGGAAGGAGGAGTTGGGGAGGCCGACAAGCAAGGAGTTTGCATAGTCAAGCATGGATGTTATGTATAGAAACAATCTAGGGTACAGGGAAGAGCAAGGAAGTAGGATTAAATAGTCAGCTATTCCAGGGATGGACCTTTATCTTCTACGTTGTTGAATCTTTAAGTTTACTTTACAATACCCACCATGTGGAATTGGAATTCTCCCCCATCCCCAACTCTGCCCAATCTAACTCAAACAATAAGCTTGTGTGTGCACTTGTTTTAAAATTGTACTGTACGACAAGAGAAAATGAAACCAGCAAACAACAAAGTGGCATTCTAATGAATACACTTTTGATCAGTCACCATTCAAATCTCACTTATGCGCAACTCAGCACCAAAAGAAGTACTGCCACTTTTCATTTATCATAAAATGTGAGGAAATTATCATTCTAATATATTTTTTGACTTGAGGTGGTTTCCTTTTGTTTACAGCTTAACATTTCATTATAGCCTAACGCTAAAGAAACAGACCTACAAAAAATCCTGGAACAGGCCATTATAATGCATCAAGTTCAATATTATTTACCGATATTATTATTTTTCTGTCAAATGGTATTTCTCATTGTTACCACAAGAACCAATATTCCAAATATCAACAGTTTATTGAAAATTCTTGTTTTTTTTCTGTGTTGTTCAAAAGACATGGTTTATCAAAATACCTGTTTCCGTTGGCCTTTTTTTGCTTTTCCGGGTGTATGTTTGGTAAATAAAAAGAGAACTTGAAATGGAAATCGCTTTACGATGATTTTTTTTATCCTGGTACTAATAATGAAAAGTAATATTGTATCCTTATGAGATCTTTATATGGTTACGTTACATTGCTTCCCAGCTTCTTTTGTTTACTTGGCTAAAACCATTTAAGTACCATCATGTGTCTACAGGCCTTTTCTATTGCTGAATCAATGTATGTTGCTCGAACAAATCAGGGTGACAGTTTTACTGGTTCGGAAAAGAAGAGCAAATACAGACAGTTCCTCTGGCATGCTTGCTTGGTAGATTAATTAACATAACTCCAGGAACAAGTTGAAAACGTATATGTAATAAAGCGGTTTTCATGTGGACTCAGACTAAAAAAGAAATACCTTTCATAATGGCCTCAGGAGAGTAACAGCTGCAAATCTGTAGGGACTTATCTCCTTCTGTGACAACTTGGGGTTTTGATCATCATTCATTAATCAATCAATATATGACATTTTAACGTCTCATCAGATAACCAACTGTTATGGCTGTTACTTATGGAATGAATAGATGTCATAATATCCTCAGGTTCTTGATTCCTGATCCTTCTGTTGCCTGCAGTAAAGACAACAGCATTTGAAAGTTCATCTTTTTAAGCAAAACTCATTGATTTATAAAGACTGACAGTTCCTAAAAGGACAAATGATAAAAAAGAAAGTCAATGTTGTTCAGTTATTTAAATTAATCATTCAAGTTCATTGTGCGAGTCATATTTAATGTATAATTAAAATTATAATCAGATTCCGTCACTGTTAAGTGCTCCGGGACGCTACCCCACATGTAGTGCGCTATATAAATACATTGATTGGTGAGTTGTTGTACCAATAAGTTCTTCTGTACATCTTACCTTGAGAAATAAAAATTTTAGTGCTGTACAATTAGCATATAATTTGTGACAGATCACACCTCTCAAATGTGAGGTAATAATTATTTCTATTGACATTAACAAATATTTAGTGTTCCCTTTTACTGATAGAATTATCAGGTGAGGATACAGCATACTGTTGGGATACAGCAGAGGGAGCTTTACTCTTTAACTATCCATATTGTATCTTACCTTTAAATGCAGGAAAACTAGTAGTTGACAGATGTGTGAAGTATTCACATTTCAAATCTCTGTCATGGCTCACTGATTAGAATATAAGAATTTAACAAACCACAGTATAGAATCTCAACACAGCATATACTGTACAGATATACATAACGTACCCATTATCCCATTTTGAAAGAATTTAGAAGACGTGAAGTAAATAAACTGCATTTTTATAGCTCCTTATTGCATTGAAACATCTTGAAGTGCTTCACAAGTTATTACTGTCAAATTATGCTTTTGCAAGCAAACTTTTTTTAGAAATCACATTTATTAAATTTTAGGGTATAAAAATGACAGAAACACACACAATATAGAAACATGTTCAAATCCTAGCAATTTGATTCAGAGGAAGTGATTTATGAGCTTTGACAAAAGTTTGGTAAGATATTTAAGATACTTCCATGACGAGTGAGGGATTTTAAAGATAAAAGTTCATCTTGAAAATCTGCTGATTTTAAACAAAAATCAGATCAATAGAGCAACAACAAATGCATCACATTGAGAGAAAAGTTTAAATCTGACCATTAGCTTAAGAACTGGTTACATCCTCTTACCATACAATGCACTAACCTTACACTCCCACCAGACCAGCTGGTTTCACTTGACTTTCCGTTAACTTATTATTCATTGAGTTAACCTCCCTGTTGAAGATTAATTAACAAATACTAATATAATCCATACTCCATACATTTTATGAGATGTAATGATATACAGATGCAAGTTTATTTAAATGGTTGATACCCCTGCTGTGTCCGCATACCATTTCAAGTAGAAGTTAAATGACTTGTGGGACATGTTTCTCAAACTGTGGCCTTCAGGGTTATATTTCAGTGACTGTGGCCTTTCTGCAATAAAGCAGAAGACAAAAAATATGATTTGTTAGAGACACAGGAAATGGTATATATTTGGATTTATGTAATACTAATTGGTTCATGATTTAAAAAGAATTTTGATGAAATATTTCAAAGAAATTAAACTGAACATGAAAGCAGACCTACCTTGTAAGGTATTCTTCAATATCCGTTACTCTTCATAGATGCACTGAAAATTGTGAACTGGTGTGAAACTCAAGACATTCATTTCAAATGATTAATTGTGTTGTCAATGGGAATCAACATCTTTTGAGCCTTTGAGTGGTATAATACAATACTTGATAATGACAAACATCTGAAAAAATCCAATGTGCTCATCCAACATTTCAATGTTAATTTTGTTAATAATTCACGGTTAAGTGATCCACTGCGTCTACACAATTTTTAAAGACCACAAAAAATATTTAATCTTTATATTGTTGCAAATAATTTAATGCAAATTAAGCATTCTACAAAGACAAAATATCTCGGGAGTGAAACTGCAAGAACTTATGCATTCATCTATTCATGCGGTCGTCAACAAATAGTGCACAGATAGAGGATTAGATTGTGTGCTGGTATCTTTGATCAACATGAAATATACAAACTTGAATTATTTCAGGTAGCAGGTAATGAAAGCCTAAAACATCTCCCTCGGTGTACACAGACCTTCAGAGATCAAAAAATGAGAAAGCAATCAAATACAATTTTAGAAGGAAAATCAGGATGACCATCATTTTAAATATTTTTGCAGCAAAGTCATGACTGTTGCATTCAGAACTGACACCAGTTTGTTCCAGTGTGTGAATGTGTGCGTGAAGATGTATGTGAATGTATACGTCAAAAATGTTAACAATCAGAACATCACACAGCATCACATGCACTTCCAGACTCGATTTAAACTAAAACTGGTGATTTCCGCTCACTTATGTAAACATACTGACATGGTACTTCTTTCAGGCTGACACTTCAGCATGTTACGAGCTAATCAAAGTAGAATCCCGTTATAATGCATTTCATCATAGCCCAGGTTCGCTTGAAGGCAACAGTGTGGATCCCACATTTACTTACTAACAAATAGGCACGGAAAGCCTCAAAATCGCTTGCTTCAAAATCCCAACAAGATTCCCAATACATGTTAAAAATGACCACATATGCAATGAGCAGCAAGTGCTATCAACGGCAACATGATCCTTCAAAATCAGCCATTATTAAGTGACATTTTGAAGCGAGCCGACTTTCCACATACAAAACATATAGGGAAGCATTGATCAGCCTTCGTGCCCTGTTACAGCAAATGTTGAACCCAGACTACAGTATTATAATGCAGCTCCAATGCATCTGAAATTATCAAATAATACCACCGTCCATGTTCAGACATGGTCATTGCACCACACATTTACCCCTCTTCCCTCTCACTCACTCCCACCAGGCAATCAATGTTTTCAGAACAGTCTACTTTAACCCTTCCACACAAGAATGCAACATATTTTTACTAAACCATTCAGTCCACACAGAAATATTTTTAAACCATCATAGAGAACATATCCTTCACTGAAGGCGCCGCACGCAGAGTATTACATACATTACTGATTTGTTCTTGTGTCCTTTTTAATCTTTGCATTTCAGGAGTATCGGTAACAATGCTGAACCCCAGTTTACGGCTCTTCTCAAAGTTTTCTTTGTATTTGACCTGGAAGAAAAGAAAAAAATTGCATTTTATCAGATTAAAAGCAGCGTCCAAATAAATAACTTCATCTTTTTAACACATGTCTCTCTGGTTTAACACGTTGGGCCTACTGAGAGATATTTATGTATTAACACAGCATCTTTCTTGGAGATGCTGACGTGCATTTACATTCACTTTCCCAACCTTCTTTTATAGGATATATAGGGTCAATGACTGTGGTGTGATCTTGTCAATTGGCAGCTCCAGGGTATTTCTACCAAAAATGATGCTCCCACCTCCCAATACGGAAGGTGACAGCAAGAAAGTAAGTGGAAGCTTTTAAGAGGTAGAAAAGTTAGAACAAAGGGGGTTTGAAACAAGTATAAAGCTTTTTTAAAAAGCAGGACATACTAAATAAAACAAAAGAGGTGTAGCTGGAGAGCATCAGTAAAGTTTCAAATGTTTTTACTTTAAATTGTTAAAAGTTTCTGATTAATATTAAAACCAGGAAGCCTCTGCAAAAGCACTTTGGGATTGATATGATAAGGCACTATATGAAATCTGAATATTAAACACAAGGATTATTATTTATATTATTGGTCAGGACACCAGGGGAAAATTCCTTACTCTTTTGAAACATTGTCAAAGGATCTTTAACTGCCTGAGCAGACAGGTGGGACCTCGATTCAACAACTCATCGCAGGAATTTTCTTTTCAAAGAGCAGGCACAGAAAAAATGTGTCGAATGGCCTCCTTCTGTCCTGTATAATTCTATGATGGGACCTCCATCGATACAGTGACTACCCTAGAATTGCACTAGAGCATCAGCCTAGACTTACATTACTTCTGATCTGCAGTGCTCATTGATGCCAGCTAAAGTTCCACATTGTTTATTGTACATCAGTTTATTACATCAGTGGAACTGAGGTAACTGTGAGTATTAAAGCAAAAGTATTTAAAAGATCCATTATTTTTGGTAATGCATTTGGTCAGCCTCTCTCATTCATACAGCGCTGGCATAAAACCCTATATGTACTGCATTGCCAGAGCTACGTCCTTCAGATGAGCCATTAAATTGAGGACATGTCTGACTGCTCCAGATAGCACAATTTCATAAGAGAAGGTAGTTTCTATCGGTGTCCAGACCAACAATCCCCAAAATAAAATTGGGCATTAATTTCATGGCTGTTTGTGAAGAACGTTGGGTGTAAATTGGCTGCAATGCTCGCCGTCAAAATAAAATCATTACAGTTTACAGTAAGACGTGGGAAGCACTTTGAGATGTCCTCCCGATGTGAAAGGCGCTGTATCAAATTTAAGTTCTTTTTACATTATAAACACATCACAACAACGAAAAGAGGAATTATCCTTCCCTTCTTCAACCAGGTCGGCTGAATATTTTTCCTTGAAGGTACCATCCCTTTAAATTGCTAGCACCACACAAAGATGTGTTTTCAATTTCAAAATGGTCTGGAATGATTACAGACACTGTTGGGTACTGTAGGAAAAAAAATCAGCTATCCCAAGCTCTTATAACCACTTAACAAAACCATTTGCTCCTCGTTAATACAGTATTTGAAATAACCATATGCTGCTAAAAAAAATGGTATTTTAAGCAGCATTTGAGATGTGCTGAACGCATTGTACCGTTCAGAAGCTAATAGACCAATTGTCCACAATCATGACAATCATCACATTAGTTTTCTTCTTTGGCAGACTAAGAGCAGTGTTGGTGTATTGCAGCCTGGCTTGCTCATACGGAAAAGT